GATGCACCAGTTCTTCGACGGCCAGGGCGGCACCACCGTGTGCCAGCCGGACATCAACGTCGACGCCCTGTTCGGCGGCGTGACCCAATGGGCGCGCTCGCTCGGCGTGTACGCCCCCCTCACACCACCACATCATTGTACATAGTGTTAGTTGACTCATGCAACTGCGTGCAGTAAGGTGTTCTTGGGTTCGTTCGGCATCAACGACTCGGATCAATGCCTGCCGCTGCTCAACCGGCTCATGACTTACATCAACGTACGTGGACGACGATGTGAGTCGCCTTGTGCGTGTAGCCCAGATCTTGATTCACACACCTTTACCTTCATGTGCGACAGGCCAACAAGGACGTGTGGAACGGCTGGACCTGGTGGGCGGCTGGTCCCTGGTGGGGCAACTACATCTACCTCCTCGAACCCAACTCCGACGGAACCGACCCCAACCGCCTCATGGCCAACCTCCAGAACTACTTCTGATGACCTTCTTTCGGCCATGAACAACATTGAATAACAATTTTGAATATGTTGAGTATCCAGGTTGGCATTCCTCCGTTGTGTTTGTTTTTGTGGTGGTGCTGGTGGCGGTGTGTGGGACGAGCTGGGCGAGGAGGACCTCGCTGGGCACGTAGTTGTACCTGAGGCCTTGAGCTCAGTCACAGCACATCTGGCCAAGGCCAAGTCAATCTTGTTGCCCACCAGCACCACATACCTTCCTGAGCGGGTGGCATTATACCTTTTAATTGAGACTCTCTTCACACACAAGACCTATCTCTGCATTATGGGGCAGGTTCTCGCCCAAGAGCTGCAGCACATCACCAGCAGCCACCACCGCCTGCAACAGTTTGACATTGGTGCAAATAAAAGAAATAAATTAATAGAACCAGATCCAGTCCGGTCTCTGTTGAGCTGGAGAGTAAAATCACTACTGGAGGGCACATCTTTGTGTCTGCTGGGCGCTGGCTCCTGCGGTGGTGCTGGTGGCTGGGTCTGGAAAGAGCTGGGCGAGGAGGGCCTCGCTGGGCACGTGTGCCGGAGTGGCCATGTGCGCCACGCGCTGCCAGCCGCGCATGAGGCAATCCACAAGGAGGTCGAACGCCTCGGCCACGCCCTCGCCCGTCTTGGCCGAGCACTCGCAGAACAACACACCCAACTCCTCCGCCTTCTGCCTGCCATTGCGCATACCATGTGCCCAAACCACAAGCAAGTTCACTTCTTAGTGAAGGAAATCAGAACAACAAGCAAATAAATGACAAGAGAATTTCAGGACTTCACCTGGCCTCGAGCTCGGTCACGGCGCGCTTCGTCGAGGCCAGGTCGGTCTTGTTGCCCACAGTATCGCATGNGTATCATCCGGNGCGTACCTGCGGCGTGCCATGCATGGCGATATGAGCCTGAGGATATGGATCAAGGTGT